CTATATACTGGATTTGACCCTGTCGAAAATGTCGACCCACAAAACGTTCCACGTGATAGTGGACACCACCATTCTCGTCGAGAAGAGACAGCAGCGGACGATACCGACTGGGTCGATTACCCTCCAGTGACTCGCGATGCTTTTCGAGCTCTTGAGGACAAAGTCCGTCGCGGTCGGGACTCCGCTGAGCATCATACTGGGGCCGCATAACGCTGCGAGGAAGACCTAGAGCGCTTTGATCACGGTGTGCATTGGCTGCCTCATATTGAGGACTACCGCGGTCTGTCGAATCGGCGTCTAGCCGTCCAGCAGTCGAATACGTTCCTTCGTACGACGCCATACGTCGTTGGAAACGGAGTCTGCTGCATTCCGGGCTCGGAAACAGTTGCTAGTTCAGCTTCTGGGTGTTTGAGAGCCTTTTGGTGCCACCCCGGTGCCAGCGCTCCCGCGTTCATTTGCCATAAAACACCGGATGGGTGCGCATCATTCTCAGAAAGTTTAGCGTATACGCAAGGCTCGCTTGGCCACGACCCAAAAAGGCCCAATCAACTGTCAACAGATTCCTGTCGTAAGACTGCATGTGTAGGAACGTTTTTCGCATATAATGAGACTCCGACCTCAAATGTTTCCACGTTTTTGCTGCTTCTTCCATCTGTATATTCTTTCTGCGTGTCTTGGCTTTCAGCCATCACATCGCGAACGTGTCGTAGGACACATAGCCTGGTAGACAAGAAGTCATCGACTTCTTTATGAACAATGAGAGGGCTGACATCAGCTAGTCGTTCGGCTATCTCCCCCAACCAAGCCCTGAGCCATGGGATGGCGGCGTCAGCGGGACGAGAGGATTAACAAGCTCGTTCACATAGAACGGTGTGCAGCCGGTAGATGAATGTACCGCATTGTTCAGAGCAGACTCTACGAAAGGCAGCATGGATCTCCAGCGCTTCGGCGTCTCAGCGCAGATGCTGTGAAGAATGTCCTTAACGACGCGATTCACGCGCTCAGTCTGACCATCGGTCTGCGAATGGTCCGCTGTTGACATAGTCAACTTGGTGCCCAGCACCCTGAAAATTGAAAGCCAAAACCTCCCAGTGAACGATCGACAAACGGCGTCGCTGTAACCACACCGTCGATGGTGTCCGGCACTGCCGCAGGATGAGCCATCTTTCTCAAAAGGTCTACAAAGACCACCACACCCGTGTTGTCCGCCGAGTCCTCCGGTAGGCCAAATACAATGCCCATACTCATGGACTACCAGCACCTTGAGAATACAGGTAATCTGGCCAGCGGCGCCGCATTTGGGGAGGGGTTCACCCTCTGACAAACCTCACAATGTGCTCGTCCATTCGTACATCTTGGGCCATTAATAGTGGCAACTCACCGAGCTGTACGTCGTCTCACGGCCGAGATGACCACTGAGTGGAGTATCGTGGGCCTAATAGAGGATACGGTATCTCAATCCCTCGTCGTGAGGAACCACAATGCGTGGTGTAGTCGTATAATTGGTGCTATAATACAGCAACCCGTGTCATATCCGCATAATTTGCGCTACACTTGTTCAAGTAGTTGGCGAGGCCAAGCCACTTGTGCAAGCCCTTTTGGTTCTTTAAAATCGGCCAGTTTACAGTGGCTTCGACCTTAGCGAAATCCGCTCGAAGGTCACGCTTCCCAATAAAGCACCCTAAAAACGGAATTTCTTCCGCGTCAAATGTGTATTTGTCGGCATTAGCATACAGCTTATTCGTGCGCATGCACTCGAGCACCGCTCGCAAATAGACGATGTGGTTGTTCACATCTATCCTCCTGTGCCCCGAACGACTGTGGACGAAGATGTCGTCGAAGTATGTCTGTGCATACGCCTGATGGCGCCTAAACAATTGCGCCACAAGACGATTCAATGTTGCGGGAGCATTTGACAGCTCTTGGGTCATCACAAGCCACTCTCAGAGCATTTCGTTCGGAGTACTTACTGCTGTCAGCGGAATATTACTCGCTCTGATGAACAATTGGCAATAAACATTGAACAAGTCGAATGCGCTGTACTTTGTACAGCCAACCATATTGTTCTGGAGAACATTCTTCTTAGGAATCGGCGTTTGTACCGGAATGGTGGCAGCGTTTAACTAATTGAAAGCATGAGCGATCCGTTTGGCTTTCGGACACAAAATGTGGGTATCAAATAGGGAGACTCGCTTTCACGCACCATTCCTGCGCCGTACTTCGCACAGAAAACGGCTTCAGACGTCACACTTCTCCTTGGGCAAAGGCCATAGGCGTGTTACGCCGTATTTGGTTCTAGGTCAATCTCATGACGCACACCTCGGTTCGGAGGTAGGACCGACGGCGGGTCTTTGGAGACGACGTCTTAAAAAAAATTCCTCAACTAAAGGATAGTACGGACCCGAGAGATCCTACAGAATCGACGATCCACTTCGTGCTTTCAGCACCCTCTTGGTGTCCTTCAGCACAGCTTCATCCAGAAGTGACGACGAGTTAATCTCCTCATTTAATCGTATAATGACCACCTCGACTAAATTGCCTGCCTTCAAGGCTCTACCAAACTCATCGAAGGACATCTCTTTTAGTTCAAGAAGAGCATCGACCGCGAGAATAGCCTCGAGGGTGACGCCGCCGTCTTCCTCTCCCGTCATACCGTTGGCAAGGGTATATAGCTATGCGCTATCGTCTACGGTAGACACACCTTGGGTCAGGGTCGATGCCCTGCATTTTGCAAATGACATACGGCTTCGCCAACGCCTCTCTATAGAGGTTTTACGTCTCATCGAGACTAGTGGGAGCACGCACTCGGCGTCGTCCAGTGTCCCCACTCCCAGCCCCATCGGAGCCTTGATCTTATTAACAACATCCGACGAAGAGCTGCTATTTCCGCAATCTTCGTCCAGTGGACACGTGTCACTCCAAGCGCATCAGAAGGGCCTTGCTTATGATGCCTCGGACCCCGTCCAACCATGCCATTCTTGACATGCAGCAACTGCTTCGTAACGTAAGCAATGCTCAGTGAGTTACGTGCCACTCCACATGCATCACTGGGGCCTCACCCTCGATGCTTCGGCCCTCGGCCGAAGCATACCACTCTTAGCATGCAGCAACTGCTTCGTTATTTGGGCAGTGCTCAGTGGGCTACGTGATACCCCCACATTCAAGCCGCTAGCTATGCCCGGAACTCCTGTCAGATACACCTTCGGAGGTTACAACTCGGATACTCCGGCATTAACCGTCTCGGTCCAGTGCCCGCGCCAATAGCGCTTCTGCTTCCTACCAGCGTAGTTCATGACTCACCAAAGCTCCATCAGGAGATGTGCGCGTAGTGCCTTAGGTCTTCGACCTCCAGTCAATCCATGGTTCATGGTATTCCAACCATGCCATACCTAGGATCAGGTCATACCTTGCACCCGAGTCTAAGACTAAGCAGTTTTCCACGCTATCGAAGTCAGGAAACTTGACACCGGGACCCTCGGCATAGTGGCACAATACCACGTCGATAACCGAACAGTAACAGTGTCACTCAACCGCGCTTCCAGCGCCTCCTAAATTATTCCAAGAATTTAATATTTTGAATATTAAGTTTACTTTTATCAATTTTAACTTTCTTTTTTATCTTTTGGTTTAATTAAACAAGCATACAGCTGACTTCCTTCGATCGTGAAGCGTTGATCATAATTGCTCAACGCACCAGAATCGATAAGAGTATTGCATGGTTTCTTAAAACCCTTCACGGTCGCCTTTAAGAACCAGTAAGCCCGGCTTGCACACACGTTCCGTGTTCAAAAGCACGGAGCTCTTCGGGGCTGGGCCCTGCCACCCTCTACCTTTTTGAGGCTCAACAGAACGCAGTTCTTCCCCAGTTGAGCGCCACGCGCCTACTTTTTTTATCTCTTCGCGACAAACTAGACTGGTTAGAAGCAAGGCGAACCTTTACGCACCTTGCGCAGGGTACAACCACTTCGAAGGTGACGGGTCTCCCCACAGACAAAACACCGTCGGGTGTTTACACTTTACAAGAACCAACACGAGTGCAGCGGATTGCGATCCGCTGCCCTTATAGCCTTTACCCAAGGACATTGGATCTTCTGTTCAAAGTTTAACCTGTTTTTAATTGTTTTAGTTGCAACAGAATCTAAAACCCTAGGTTTTTCTTATTTATTTTGTAGTACTTAATTAAATAGAAATACTTAATTAATATATCAGTGTGCATTACTACTGGCAATCCTGTCTTCTTGTTACGGTGCAGCCACACCTCTGTGTGATTACACCTACCTAATCCGGTTGCACCATTTTGTGCGACCCGCCACTTTCATACAATGATACGTGTAACCTCAACTTTAGTAGATCGAGAACAGTCTGAGTCAGATATTCATACACAAGAGCAAGGCATGGTGATGAAAACGGACGAAAGTCAGGGCGAAATTACAGACTGATCATTCCGTCACCCTGTTATGGGTTAGCCATCATACCTCCTCCAGATGCTAAATCCCTTGCCCCTTACCATTTCTAATCCGAGTAGTTTTCGTGGGCAGATGCGGCTTCGTATGCTTAAACGATTGAAGCTACCACTAGAGTATCACATGAAAATATTAAATTGACTAACTATTGATACACCTTATCGTAATCACCAACAATAATTGGATTTCTATAGTCAAATTTGGCACGAAAATTATTCAGTACGATAACCGAAAGGCAGAATAACAACGACACATTTCTTTCAAACTGATCAATTTACAACAAATATTCGACCAACTTAGAGGCAATCGTCTAGGACCTAGACTTCATGAGATACAAGCTAAATTTTATGTCGAATAATGATCCCCTAACTTCGCTCACTACTACAACTTCCCGATGCTTGGTAGCTAAATCGCAACACTGAATTATTGATCAGATTCATATCTTCACAGGAAGGGTCGGTTTTGCAGCCAAACATGGGTTGCAATGAATGGCTCGCAGTCCATGTTTGTACCTTTGTCACATAGAGAGCTTTTTGCTCTGCATTGAGAGGCAGCATAAAACTATAAGTTATACAAATTTATCAAGGTCAGCGTTATGAATAAACATCATTAAGAAGGTCATGCTTACGTAGAAGACTCGATGTCAACTGTCGCACCGGTTCTTAACGTGTTCGATATCGTTGCGGTCGCTTGTTTCTGAGCATCTTCGGAAGGTTGGAGAGAATGGCAAAGATGCGACGAGATGAATACGTATTCAAAAAAGTCGGCATAGCGCTTTTTTGTGAATAGCTCGTCTAAATTTCCTGAGAGTGGCACGACCTGCAATTGATATATGACGTACAACGTTAAACGAAAAGCAGCATTCGATACCACGAATTGAAACGAGTAAACACCTTCACGCCTTGCAACATTTTCTTCATACTCTTTGGACAACGTTCTCCTGACTCTTGCCCGCAATGTTTTCTTCAAGGCAACAAGTAGAACAATCAGTATTTCAGTTTGGTGGTCTGTTGATGGCACATTTTGTACTTAAAATTATCTTTTGATAAGTTGACCTCCTCATCCAGCTCTTCAACTCGAGATATATCTTCGTCACTTGATGTTGTACCAGCTTGCGTATTTTCTGCGCCGCCAATTCCACTAAAGATATCGTGCTCCTGGAAAGAATGTTCTTGATGTTAACAGATGGAAAGAGGACAATTAACTCCTGGATTACCTTTTCCATCTGATACATTTTTCCTGTCTCGATCTCATACAGATACGACAGAATATTGTACACGGCAACTTCAACTGTATTCTAGAGTGGCAGTGTGAGTAGTCATAAGTTTCATTTTATCTTCACACCCGTGTTGACGATACACATACGTGGCGATTTTGCTCGACCCCAGTGCCCTTGTTGTGAACTTCAAATAGTTGTTCCACGAATCTGTTGGGCTTCTCGCAATACACCCCAAACGAAATGTATGGGCTCATGATAATATCTGTCCACAAGCCTCTACACAGTACAGAGCCGTGATGCCTTTTCTTTGCCTAATTTTGATAAATTTATCTACCGTTGACCATTATTGTCAATAACTTTGTCCTTTCAATAACTATACCTCGATGTATGCTGCCATTGTGCGATTTGGCATGGTATATGTTTGGTCACCAAACTCGAATGCCACACCTGTGTTTCTCCAATCACGGTACTGGCGAATGTGAATCAAACTACCATTCTCAATTTTTCTTAGTTTCATCTATTGGACAGAGCAGTAAACGCATTAAGGGTTGTTACAACAAGCTGTTTTTTTTAACCTACCGTGTAATCCCAGTCAATGAGATTGTCGCGGTAGTCGAATCGAGTTTCGTAATAATGGCGAAGACGATGATCTCGGAGTGAGTTTACTTATGTCCAAACACACAGCAAATGAAATGCAGCTTTCACAAGTCAATTGTGTCCAGGCCTTACCGTCAAATTTTACGCTTTGAAACCAACTTCGAAAAGAGTCAATGAGTTCGTCATGAGTTCGCATTTTTAGATGAGAGAGGTCAACTAGACCCGCCAATGGGCCGCGGTCATTGTAGACAAAATCAATCAAAAGCTTTGCTTGATCTTCAATGTATGCACAAGTCTTCTTCTACAGCATTATATTATATCATTCGCTGCTGTAAGGAATTCAGTTTTCAAGACGTACTTGTACGCAGGTATTGCCAAATATTTCCAGAAACAAGTTGCTACGCTGACGCAACGGGAGATTTGTATCAAGCGCTATTTGAATTAATAATAAATCGCGTGACAGCGTCTCAATAGCCGTTTCAAATATGTAAATGTGCACCGGTCGGTTTTTCAAAGATGGTTGCCATCGAGATCGACGCGAGATTGTCGCTAAGATGTGGCGCACGTCTCCAGGTCCCGCTAGCAGCACATTTATAGGTTGAGAGGATACTTTCTCCTGCTTGTTGTCAATATTCGAAATGGCCATGGCATAAGTCGAGCTTTCGTCCTGATATCTCTCTGATAAGCCACTACACACATCATAAGCGGGTGAGAACCCCCACATGTTAACAACGCCCATGCTCATCATGAGTGCGCTATTAGTTCGAGCCATCTTCACCGAAGAGACGTAAAAGGGCGGCTAAAAGATACCTTGGTTGGTACACAGTACCAAATCTACTCAAACTCGTATTTCTAAATGCAGTGGCCTCTTCTAGTTGTGGCTGTAGGGTCTCTAGTGACGCCGAAAGGCGCCGTACGCTCAATTCCGATACACTACACGAAAAACCTTTCTACCGAATTTCTAGCACAGGAGGAACGTGTGTATCTTGACAAGTGTCCGTGTAATGACAGCGGCTATGTCTCGAAATCGCTCTGTCTTCCCGTAGATTTTGCCGGCAAGAAGCCTCGAAAGGAGGTATTCGCCTTCTCTGTCGCGACAAATGATAGCTGGAAGCACTATGATTGGGATCAGGTACGAATGGTTTTATTTGCTAGTCTTTTTATTAAGTAAGGTTTTTGCGCAACTAGCTTACTACAGTAGCCTGGAATGAAGACAAGAATTTGCTGTGCCACGCCCATAGCAAGGGGGTGAAAGTTGTGGTTAAACATAACTTTGACGATATGAATCAACTTTGCAACATCAGTGCAAGACAGGAATGGGTCCAGGCTACGTACTACAAGATTGTAAAAAACTATGCGGATGGCGTTAATATTGACACGGAGAAGCCATCGCAAGGTGCAACGTCTCACTGCCTTGGATTGCTTGTCAACGAGCTTCGTCAAGAGCTGAAAAAGCATGCTCTTACGAAGAATGCACAGGTCCTGTTAGTGTCTGATATTTATTACATTTGCGTCACCACTGATATCATCCTCCGCTCTCTACTTCGTCTATTTAGATAACCTTTGACGTCCCGTGGGCCCCTCGTGGTGTAGATGGTCGCTACTATCCATGGCGTGATCTTGCCACCGCTGTAGACTTTTTGTTTGTCATGTCGTACGATATGCGTAGTCAAGTCTTTGACACGTGTGTCGGGGGTGCCAACTCACCGTTGGCCCTAGTGAAGCAAGGGCTGCAAGAATTTATACTCGCATACGATATCGTACCAAACAAACTGGTTTTAGGAGTTCCTTGGTATGGCTACCAATACTCATGCATACACAAACAGCAAAGCGCAGCGTCAAATTACGATGCTTTGTGCCAAATCCAACAAATTCCCTTTCTTGGTGCCCCTTGCAGTGATGCAGCCGGTGAACAAATTGACTATGGAAATATCCGACGTTTGATTAAAGAAAATGGGCTCGTCGAGCAATGGGACATGATGACGCTCTCTCCATTCGTGTGGCTTTCAACGCAAGAGGGTGGGCAATCGCAGATTTGGTTCGACAACCCACGCAGTCTCGAGGAGAAATATTCGATTGTACGTGACCTCGGTTTGCGCGGCGTGGGTATGTGGAATGCAGACTCGTTGGACTACAGCGCAGCTGATGATTCTAAGGCCATGTGGAGCTCGTTGGCTGCGGCATTTAAGGCGTAAAAGCACAATTTAACGGATAGTTTCTTATCCTTCCGTAAATGTAAAGACATGTCCCGCATAATTTTTAAAAAAGAGTTTCCATATTTCTATAGACGTACGTCACAAGATAGAGTGCAGACTGCAAGCGAAATAACGGCCGAATCATTCAAGAAATGTGACAAAAAACACGCACGATAGCTTGTACAACCAATTTATAGAAATTCTGATTAGAACTTACAAGTTTGCCCAACAAGAATGCTGGATGAGTAATGATAACTTCAAGCATAATTTGCATCAATCCTATACGCTTTCAATTAAGCATGACTACAAGTTCGCACAGTCCAGCTGTGGGACTTTTTTTGTAGTCACTGTCGTTTCTTGCTGCACAGCTTCCCTCGTTTCACGCTGTAAGATGGCGCAGATTACGACTCGGACCCAACCGCGAGCCATTTTTTATAAACGATTCGTCAACCTATTGATCTACTGCTTTGCAAAGGCACATCCGTAAACTCGTCCGCGATGATGTTCTGAGCGGATCCTCGAAACTCCTTACAATCGCTCAATTTAGCTTTCGCATTATCGAGCAACGTTTGGTTCTTTTTTCGGCTTGTTCAGTGCGAGGTGTAGCAAAAATCTCTTTTACCCAAGCATTTGCTTACCTTAAGTACATTGTTGAGCTCACCACAATAGGTCGTGCGATAAAATCAATCGCTTAAATAAACGGAGCCTTTCAAGTAGAAAAAAAACCGCCAGGTCTGTGCGATGACCGTTATTTTGACTGGCACTAAACGTTTCAGGGAAAAAAGATTCGTTGGATAGCGGTTTCAACCTTTTAGCTGCAAGTGGTTGGTTAATTATGATCATATAACTTCTTACTCATTGGCAAAATCATGATAGTTTTGAGAGGTGCGCGTTGAACAAAGGATGCCGTCGGTGTTATCATTTACACTAGTGTAGCAATCTATCGACTTGGCGGTACAACATTGCTTGATTATCAAAACTCAGAAAAATGTACAGGTATAATGGCATGCTACGATCTGTATGACGATATGGGTTATTCCCATTACATAGATCATGAAAGGGCGTAGGGTGATGGGCGGCTGACGAGAAAGATCCTTCCCTAGCTTAGAAATAAATATCTCGCGTCGTTTCCATCGCTAGAAGCTCGGTTTCTAATCAAGGGCAAGCTCTGGCACTGATCTTCCATTTCCAAATTTACCAACAGTCGCCCAAAACGAGGTGCCCTCAACGCCAACCGCACTCGACAATATGGAGACAGAACTGCCAGCCACACCCACGCCCATTGACTCAAGATGCATAAATCTCAACTTTCAATCACCCACTGCTGACAAGGCGCAGCATACGTTGCGCATGCAAGTGGCCACTCACAACTTTAAGAAACGCGCTGCCTGCGATTCGCCCGTGGCCTCTGACGACTCAGCATCGCCTCTTCCTGTGACCTCGTGTAACTTCACAGCACTAAGTCGCCACTTCCACCTACCACTTAAGGTGGCGGCTGAGAAATTTGGTGTTCGTGCTACAGCTTTTAAGAAGCGCTGTCGTGCTATTGGAATTCGCCACTGGCCATATCGCAAAGTGCGAAGTCTGAAGCGCTCGCTACAGGAGCTCGAGCAGTGTCAACAACAAGCTCAAGACGGCTCAGGTCCCCCACTTTCAGAGAAACAGCTGCGCCAGTTTGCAGGCTATCAAAGCCAGCTCAAACGCCTTCTGTCACCCGAGACATACGGAATTGACCCCTTTGGCCAATTGCTGCCTGCTCACTTTTTCCACAGTGATGTTGCTGACGAAAGCAATACTCCGGATGATCACGATTCGGACGAGGATTCATGCGGATCCCAGAGCCCACGACCTAGCGTCGAACATCTTGTACGCAGGACCAAGGCACGTAAGCATCTATTCACGGACTCTCCTTCCTCAACCTCCTCACCACATCGCGAAAATATGTTTTTTGGCAACCCCATGAATTTAAGCGCAGCTGTCGGTTACAGCCGTGCGCAATATGGCCAAACAGGCTTAACTTCTGCGCAAGTAGGCTTTACCTTTGACAGCATGTACGACCCTTTTGGCGAGCTCAGCACGTCTAACATGGATTCCTATGGAGAGAATGACCATCCATCATGCGGTTATTCTCTCGACATCGTCTCGTGCGACTTCTTTCCGTTGCAACCGTCGCCTACTATGGCCGCACGAAAAGCTAGTGCGATGGCTCAACAAGCATTTGCAAGTTGCCATACGAAATCAGACGAGGCTTATGCTGCGATCGCGCCTACCGGGGTTGATGGCTTAGAAGACGATATTTTTCGCCACATTTCGCCAGAATATGGTTGTCTTGTTTAGACCGAATTACCCTAGTGCATCTGTTGCTTGTTCTCAATTCGCATTACACTTAAATTATTCTGATCGTTATCGAGATATAAATAGAAGAGCCTGAACTCATAGTAATCGTCGATGGCAAGAAATTTTTTGATTGAGATAATTAAATATGATGCTTCTCACCTTAGATGGATGCCCTGATACAATTTGAAAAGAACTTGTGTATAGAGACATAAATGACCTAGCGTTCCTCGAAGTTTGAAGAAGTTTGAATTAATCTATCATTATGCATATGGGTACATTATAGATAAACCGAAGCTTTCTAGCAATGTGATCGGCTTGTCGTTAGTAGCAAATAGTCGTTAATCGTAGCCAAAACAATATTTCCATTCTCGAAAAAATGGAAGCAGTGATTTGGTTTTTACTAACAGGTATCTTGAGAATTGTATCAAAATAAATTTTCATCATATTGTCTGTACTTATCATAGCTTCTTCAGGTTAGCTCGTCACAGGATACACATGTAGTACTAATCAGGAAGCTTTATTGAAATGAATTTCCAGCATTTGAAGCCAATCTAATGATACGACTCGTCATCAGAAAGTTCCAAATATAAAACAAAACAAATGTAATCCATTTAGTCTTCGAAGATGTAGATCCAAACAACTATCAAACCATCACTGCTAAAAAGCATCATCCCCGCCTTCTTCTGCTTTCTCTCGACCTTCGATCTCACTAAGCATGAGCTGGTACTTGGTCACCACGCGCTGCATCGCCCGATTTGCCGCAATTGTTGGCAAAATCTGTGACTTCAATACGTCCCGTTTAAAAAGGTCCTGGATTCAGTATCAGTCCTGAAAACCATTTTCGCTGCTAAAGGCAATAAAGAATATCGTACCAGAACCATTGGATCCCACGTGCTATTCATACCTGAGTATTTTTCCTTTCCATTTGTCTGAGTCAATAATGATGAAGACGAGCTGACATTATAACATAAGGTCAGTATCGTATTGCAAAAACTGTCTGCATCCACTACATTAAATGCAACAACACACACATACGCGGAGAATGGGCCCATCATTTCAGCGCAAAGATCGTCCAACCTATTGACATCTTCGTCATGCGTGAGAAATCTTGCATACGCCTGAATCCTATATCGAATTGAATTATTCAAATGAGACCGATCATGAATAGATGTAATTTTTGCATTTTACCAGTATCGATACTCTGTTGCACTTTTAAGGACGACAGCAACAGCGACTTGGTGCTCCAAATGTGAGCGCGTCACATTACGTTGCATTAGCGGATCTGACATCCCCGACAAAACTGCTGAAACAACTCCTCTCTGCATTCGACCGTAGCCAGACGCGTTTTGCAACCGCCGCAGTGGTCCGATCTGACAACCAGTATGAATGTAAACATTTCAAACAACTTGCTGGTCAAACCAAATCTCTAGTTTGCATACGTACGGGAATAGTTTTCAGTGTGACGGCATCGGTGTGTAAAGCAGATGCAAAATCTGAAAACACAAAGCTATCGTCCGCAACTCGCATCCTACATCACATTGGATTGAATACTACATTCTTCCTTTCGAAATAACAAATTCGTCGTCCATACCATGATGACATTTCAGTATCGAATGTGTATGAAATTAAGCTAGAACTGCTTTTCACTTCAGAGTTAGACTCTGCAAATGTAATCAACGGTATTCCTCTATTTGTCACCCGACAGCGAAGTAGCGTCAGCTTTCGATGGTCTTCTGGCAAATTCTGAAATGTGTTATACAATAAAAGTCGAGTTAGAGTTTTTCCTTTATAAGATTTAGTACAACAACGCACATTTGCAATTGGTTCAATCGAGCTTGAAAGTACGAGCTTGCGCTTGGCAAGATTCCAGATTTTGAGATCACCAGTGACCAAAATTACCAGCAAATATGCCGACATGCCCACACTGCACTCCATCACTGATATGGAACTGCCCAAGGCTGGAAAAGAAAAGAAGGTCGTCAAATCGAGTGCATTTTAAGGCAATACTTGTAATTTACATACCAATACACGGAAATAGCCGCCGCCCACTGCTGCTAAGAGCAAGTATGTCGCCATTGCTTAAACCTAGCACACAGTAGCTTGCATTTCCCACAACGCACACGACTCGCTCAAAAATGCGGTCTATCCACTTAATTTCGCTGCCTTCAGAGCACTTGACGGTTGAATAAACCGGGCCTAATTCTGTAACATATTCCGTCGAGGAAGACTGTCAAGAGCAGTTGGTAAACTCAACAGATTTTTCTTGCACCTATATATTTTTCTTGTGAATTCTTCACATTGTGAACGGTAACTTCAATAATTGCTTTCGAAGATCCGCTTCCATTGGTTTCATTCGAGCTTTTGTTGGCAACATCTGTGCTTGTATTTATTTCCACAGAAAATTGCAGTCGTACTTGAAAACTCGGTAGCAGCTGATTTCCCTTTGTCATGCCGCCTCTACGAACGACCGATATAAACGCGCAATTATTATCATCACTGCATGAAGTTCAAATTACCAACGAACATTTCATTGAGAACTTTTGGTGGTCGAGTAGCAACTTCTCTTGTTTTTGCAACGCTTGGAATGTAAACTGGTGCACGCTCACTATCTCGCTTTCTCTTAAGAAAACCACCATTAACTCCCTGAATCTCTACTTCGGCGTTTGATGTCTTATGTTGCGTATCATTTGACGCCAATGTGGCCGATTTTTCACCAAATTTGGTCGTCTCAAGTGGCACAAAGCTCGTCTCAAGAGATGCACTTACCTCCATTTCTTCCAGTTCATTGGTCACCGGTATCCGCATACGTGTACACAATGAACTATCATCCGACGATTTTGGGGACATAATTGTCGGACCCAAGATGTTGCGAATGTTATTTTGTGATGAAGCTGAATTGGTGACTGGAATATTTCCCCCAACTTGAACAAGCTCTGGCATAATCCGTTTGATATCACTTGCATTTGTCGCTGAACCATTGTCCGTACGCTTTGTGATTAATGGCTCTGTTCTAATTTTCTTTTTCTTCTTTGGAATGAGGGTATTTGTTATGTTCGAGTAAATCGGAGTCACACTTGTACCATCACTGAGACCACCAGCCAAATTTGTAGAGAACGCAGACTTTTCTTCTAACTGGGAAGAATATTGGCAATATTTATATTGTCAAAAAAACTATCTCACAAAATTAGCTGGAAATCAAAACAAACCTGTAGTTGAATTGGATTCTCCACCAATGTCGATGCAAGCGTAATACCGGCTCGCGATCCGTACTTATAGCATACACATGAAGTGGCATGTGGGAGTTAATTGTTATATCTTACAACATATTGAACGCTGCAAAATCATACTTTTGCCTGGAGAAGCTTGCTCTGCTGCGTATCGGAAATTGGAGTACCAATCTCATCATCTGTAAACTGAAAGCAGCAGATGGATCCATCGAGTGAGCATGCGAGAAGAAGTGACTGAGAGCTTGACCATGCAAGGTCTGTAACTGACGAGTCGAAACAATCCTTGATCACTGCTAGTGGTCGAGCTAAATGTGCCAGCCAGATGCTAACAGTCGCGTCTTCACCACCCACTGCACAACACGCAAATTCCTTATCAGGGTCTATCTTTGAAACTGCCCATAACAAAAGTTCATGTCGATTAGCATTATATCATATATTGAATTAGGAGCGGTCGACGCACCAAGTAATTTGGGATTAAATCGAGCGCTGGTCACAACACTTTGATGTCCGACAAACTTAAGGTCATTTGTCCAGGTTCCACGATTAAGTAGTGATGCGATATTTTTCTTAGAGCTGAAAGCATGTGTAGCACAAAGAACAGAGCCATCAGGAGACCACGAAAGCCGACGAAAGTGCGACGTGGAGGCACATCCCTCGAAAGGTTCTGTCACCACGTCAGCCTGCTGCCAGTTGGCAACTTTCCATAATCGCACGGTCTTATCCTCACCAGCACTCGATAAATACTGCAGCAAGCATATTTTGTCAGGCCTTCGACTTCTTGTAAATAGCCCAGTTTTGCTGATAAAATACCTTGCCAACTGGATCCCATGCAACACCCTTAACCCAGCTATTGTGTCCTGTAAGAGTTTGCAGCGGCTGCGTCATCACCTCACTTACTGCACCCACATCCCAAATTAATACGGTGTTGTCAATACTGCAGGTCGCTAGCATCCGATCGTCGGGTGACCATGCTATATCAGCTACATCTGCAGCATAAAGCGAAAATCACTATTGTCAGCGTTACGAAAAGTGCATACAATAAGCGAGTGTCTAGTCTCACCCATCGTGTGCCGTTCGAGCGTGGAGCAGCGCACCCAATTCTGCTTGTTGGGTTTAGCGTTTGATCCGAAAGGAACAGCGGCTGAAGCGCCGGATTGTAGCTCATATAAAAGAACAAGCTGGTCGTCTGAGCCCGAAGCCAAGTAGCGACCGTGGCCCGCCCAACGCACGCAATTTACGGCTTGTTGATGGTTCGCTAGCGTAGCCAGCAGCTCAAAGGTAGAAATGCCTCCATTTGAAGGTGTTTTTAACGACCATACTTTGACTGTATTGTCTCCACCAGCCGTTGCAAAAATTTGAAGCGTTGGATGCGCGTCCACGCCATAAATGGCGCACACTGTGTAATATGTCAAGTTCAACAGATTAGAGTGTAGCTAGCATCAAATTGACAGCGCTGCAAACTTGACGACAAGGATAAGCTTATAAACATTTATAAAAAACGCACCGGTGCCGGACGAATTCTCGTGCTTGACGTTCTCGGGTTTTTCCAGTAGCATATCCGGCGGGACACTTTTAGTGTTTGTTAGCCTTTGCTATTGCATATAGTGTTTGATAAGTTAGCATTGACGTTGTTATTGGGGCAAAAAGCGACAGCTACACTGACATTGAGTCTAGTAATTGTACTCAAGTAGCAAAGCATTCTCTCTCCATGGTTAATTTTCTGATGACGTGGGCATACGGCATCAGATGCAATAATTGAGTTTTGGATTGGTGACGAATCGTCACCAGGCAAATTTTAATCTTGCTGCAAATGTCTACACAAGACACCAACTAAATTGAATCGACCTATGCATGCAGGAACGTGTTTTTTCGATTTCAAGATTCATTATATGTACATGAGATGACTTGAAACACATTTTTTGTTTCGAACTGAGTACTTTGCGCTGTTGCAGTGTTTAGATGCTGACTAAGTACATGCAGCTTCTCGATCGCAAGATTTTTTAGGGTCTGTTACAACATCTGGGTTACGATCCACGCGTGTACATTTCATTTGTGGATTATAAATGCTGCAACTGTAGCTTTAGTCACGATCACGGAGTGTAACCTAAACTACCTCGATTTGATTTTGACGTATTCCTTAGATATGATGAATCGAGCTTTCCCGCACCTGGGGCTCAAAAGAATGTTCTAGGAATGTTCCCAATCATAAATTACGGTAGGGAAAATAGGAAAATAATTGCTGCTGATCAGCTCACAATTTCCGCATGATAGCGCGAATAATTCTACCACTGCATCAGAAACATATTCACACTACGAAATGTTAAGGGTTGTACTTCTGGAAGGATCAAACTACGCAGTAGCTTTTCCATTTTCCCCGCAATACTCTCCATGCGAGAATCTGTTATAGTATGTGTGCACCTTGTCCGCTTCAAGCTGGAGAGCGTATGTTGCAATTCCTGCATCGCTTAAATATCGCACTGATGCTGATCTGATTGCAATCAGGCATCGTATTCTTCACACGTCGAAGAGGTGGACTTTCAGGCCCCATCTTGCTCAGTGTCCGATAGGTTTTGGTCAATCGTCGAACGCGTCGCTGACGTTGGCATGAAATGGGTGCTTCGCATTGTGGTGGGAGCGACATTGTCGAGAATATTTGATTGATCATTGACGCGAACCATTTTGTTGATTTGATCTGCGTTTGTAAAGACCTGAGAGATGCACATGCTTTCTTCGCAGCTTTTATACACCAAAAAAATATTAATTTATTGAGTGAAACTTTAGCTGATATAGGGTAATCAGACAAGTTTGGTGTAAGTAGTGATCTTAAACGATACACAAATAGTATTGGCTGACGTGGCGTCATTTGATATGTGTATCAAATGACATACAATTTAACCCCAAAGAAACGCGTCTCCAGCTAATTTTTTCTTTGTGCAAAAACACTTCAAGCATCAGGTCCTTAGAGCTGTCAGATTGAGCTTCTGCTTGGCCAATAAGAACACAAGTTCGTGTATGTGAATTTTGGATTTTGGATTTGCCACTTTTATGCAGAGCACATTAAATGTTGCATCAATAATTCCTTTAAAAATTAGCTAGTATTACCGGAAGAGCGCAATATAAAAGAAACATGAGCCCTCGCACTGCCGTGATGCTAAACATTTACGACCTTGTTGAAGCCAACGACATCATGGCGCGTGGGTTTATCTGCCAATAGTACTTACTACAGGGGTTAACCTTTCGCTTGAATACTTCAGCGCTGGGCCTTGGCATTTATCATAGTGGCGTTGAAATTGCCGGAGAGGAATTTTCCTACGCGAGTGGTGCCGGTATTTTTTCCACAAGTCCCAGACAAGCACCCGGTACCATTCAGTGTTTTCCTTTTGTTTTGTGAGATTCGAGTGAAGCAATGATATACTTTTCCTAGGCGCCAAGTTTCGTGAGTCTATAAACATGGGCGTTTTTGAGGGAAGTCCACACGAAGCCCATCGTTTGGCTTACTCACTGAGTACAGACTTTGAAGGGACTACTTACAATTTGTTTTCAAAGTACGAGTTATCAGCACTTTTGATGGCCAGAGATAGAGAAAATTAAGCTTAAATGTGGCTGCCCGACAGAAACTGCAACACGTATGCAGACGCCCTATGCCAATTGCTGCTACGTAAGCCCATTCCATCCTACATAAATCGTGCGGCCTACCTCGGCTCATTTCTGAGCTGCCTCATGCCTTCGGAAAGATTGGACCAAGCGCCAGTGGCTCCGTCACAAGCTACCATTGAACCGTCGCGACGCACCAACTTCAATTACATCCCATTTGCAGGCATGTTTCAAGATCTTAAACGTCAAATTCTTTTACTCACTGATATGCTTGCTATCAGTACAGGTTCCGGTCAAGCAGCTGGCGGTTCTGCAACCGCTCCATTGTCTTCTGATACGTCGACGTTGGTGGATCGACGCGAAAAACTTCGTTCGGCAGTGCTGCGACGAATGGATAAGCAAGGACTTTAGTCTTTCTTCCTTGAGTTTGATGTGTACAGCCAGGTAGTTCGTGGCATGATTTGAGCAGCACAGGAATTATAACATGTTCTACTTAGTCTGTGAAGAGGCAGTCATCGTCAATGTGATTGAGAGCCTATATTACCACCGGTTCAATTTTTGTCTTACTAGGTTGTGCGTTCTTGAGTACTATGAGATACGTAGACGTATCCGGAAAATGATGCCTACACGCAAGAAAAACACATATGTGATTTGCAAAGCTGTGGCACATCTCGCATTTGCAAGAAGGCTAAGAAACTTTTTGTACGCCTATGGTGATGCTCATCTCACCAACCGAACTTGTGCTGCATGGAATAGCCGAAAGGGAGACCTTTTCTACGCGCCAACAAAAAAATGATTTTTATGTTTTCAAAGATCATTGCCACCGGGATCACGAATATCCATCGGCTTTGCTTGTGGTGGTTGGACAGTCTGGCGAGGCAAGTCAGCGTTGCTCGTAAACTGGGCGGAGAAGCGGCGCCGTTCGATTTCTGGCGAGCAAGAGTTGATCTACCAGCACGACTGTGGCTGTTCTTTTGATAACGTTTAACTATCGTCGTTTTTGTTTCGATTAATGAGTGAGCTGAAAACTTGCACGATTTTGAGCTTCCTCGCGAGCAATAGGAAAAGAAGTTGAAATCTGCTTTCACCCGATGCTTAGAGGCACGACTGGGGAAAGAAAGCACAAGTTAGAATCATATTCCAGGCGAAAGCGGTACAGAATAGGGCAGCGTAGTTCTGGTATCTTTAATTGATTTTGTGCGCCTTGTGAGCAGCATAATTCTGGTGCTATGGTATCGGCTGTTTCAAAATTGAAGATGGGAGGAATCTATATTTTGGCTTTCAAGCAAATTTCCCTGCCGGCATTCGTACGATGGCTTCAGCGACCCAATAAATTCAAGCAGCCATTTAAACTGTTGTACGGAAACCACTCGTCTGCCAGTCGTTTATGATAAAGAGTGCGTCAAGTCCTTCTGCTTTGTGCTGCTAATCTTGCTCTGACACACTAAATGCACAGTGGCGATCTTATTATCGATGCTAAGCAACCAGCGCATGACAAGAATCTCACACAATATGTGACCTCCGCCGACGTAATGCTGCTTACCTGCTTGTGGAACCACTTGACAAAGATTCCTGCTGGGCAGTTCCATCGGTGCGAATGCTTGGAGTAATATCAAAGCAATCTGACAGCTCTCTTTTGGCTGTGTAAGCATACGAGCTAAAATTGTTTAGTATTATGGATGCCTAGCTGTGAGTGCATGCGAAAGTTCTAACCCGCTCTAAATGAGGCTATTGCTAATTGGTCTTGAGCTTTTTGGTCCAAGCGAAAATGATCAATACCGACACTGGTTAGACCAAGCATCGAAAAGTACCAAGAAAACTCCGTTGACGAAACAGTGGAATGTGATACTTCTAAAAGATTTATTTGCTGAGCTTCAGGAGCGTACAGTGATCTTAGTAATTCTCAATGAGTCATCAATATGATAGCCAGCAAAAATTAGCTCCAGGTGCACGAAAATTCTCAGTGCTACAATATCGAAAACATGTCCGTCGAGCAGTCTAAAAAGCCGATAACAAATAGTAAGTCTGCAAGTCATGATTGAGCAACGCTCACTACTTATCCGTCATACCCTGTCACCTCTTGCTGTAAGGTTGTCTGAGTACGTCTCTAACGTACCAGTGTTTCACAAACTATTTGTTTGTCCCGACTGATACCTTACGATTTTGCAACCTCCAAGTTATCAGTATGGATGTAAAAGATCAAATAGAGGCAAAAATCTTTTGCTGTACGATATTAGTCATAATCTTCTTATGATCAGCTTCGCAGCTGTTACTATCGTAAGCTTGCAGTATATTTCGAAGCCATGGAGATATGCCAGCGCCGAGTTGACGAACTGCCCGTACAGCAAGGGCGCCATGTGGGGCGTATTACAAAATTCTCTTATGACCATGACAAGAGGCTCTTTTGCGGTTAAGATAGCACCTGGAGCTGGAAAGACGGCTACACTCTGTCACACTTGTCTACAAGAAATTGTGGGCGGCAGAATTCAGCAGCAAGCTGCGCAATGGATTTGCAGCACTTGAAAAACACGACTAATGATGACTTCGCGACCAAACAATAGAATCTCCCTTGACTTTTTTTTCGAGCGTTGGATAAGTTGATGATGTTCAGCTCAGTGAGAAGGGAGGACAATCGGGCAGAGCTGCGCGTGCTTGAGAACCGCGAAAAGTTGAAGTTTTTGCAGACTCACTTTTTTGTAAACCTCGAACTCAGTGCCAGGGTGATGCGTCATTTGAGGCCGGCGCGGCTGGGTGTGGCGTCAGTCCGTCAGGTAAACGCAGGGGATTTAGTCACCTCAATTGAGAAAACTGTGCGAGTCGTAAGCGAGGACGATGCCCATCTCCAAACTGCATCAAGCCCTAATTTTCGCCACAAGCAATTCTCGAACAGCCGTTACCACAGATTTGGAGGAGTTTTCGTTGGATTCACGCAGCGATAATGACAAGATGCGTTTCAACACTCGACCTACACGCATTGTTAAACCCAAAATGAATCCGTGGGCTGACCACATATAATCGTATTAGCTCGCCGTGAAAAGGTCACAAATTTCCATACTAATTTGACAGTCAAGACATCAGGAACAGTACTTAACAACATAAAAATTGTAAAGAAGGAAGAGTCCAAATAACAGCAAAATAATACACAAAAGTCACTGCGTCAAATACAATTCGTTACCATGCACTCTTCTTACCTAGCCAATACTCATCGCCTGCGATATGTATTGACGTAGCATCCCTTCTTGCTCTGACTTAGGCATGCTGCTCATCATCATACGACTCGTAATCATCCTCGTCGTACTCGTGATCGTATCTGTATTCTTCGACGGGCGGGGATTCAGGAACGGCCACAACAAGTCCGTCCAGTTCCTTGTGCAGCACAATCTCCGTGCCTAGACGCGAATTTGCAGAGCGGTCCTCAGCTGGAACATACGTATCAATAATGTGCCGCTCCTGATTGTTGGCAGGCTGAAGTTTGGAAATCCATTCATTGGACACAATAACATGCGACTGAGGCGATGTAGAGCCTTCACCAAACAGCGACTCGGTATAGTAGTCATCGCGGTAAGCGTCGTACATGCCGCCACCACCCATCGAATCATCCTTGACGTAATCAACATTGTTTACCTCACAAGCCTCACGAAGCGTCTGCCCGACGCGGCCCTTAACCACGTGACGGTTGCCCTCGTAGTCCACGAGCACAACATTTACCCTGAAAATTCCAACGGGAAATCATACGTTTTTTACTCGCTTAATTGTTTAAAACATGATGTGACACGCACACTTTTTCAGCCACGGTCAGCGCGGAGGATTCAAATGGAAGCCCACCGATAAAGCGGCGGCTCGCTAGACGCGACAACGCAGATGATCGAAGAGCGAGGGTTAGCATAATTTGGAGTGGTGTTTTAGCCACAAAAGAAGGGGATTTTAATTGGTCGAAAATATGTGAGGTAAACTCTACATACTTATTGCCTTCAATTTGGCTCGACCCATGGCGGGGGGCATGTACACCAAGATGACGTCCACAGGCTCATCACTCATTGTGAACTCGCGTACGATTTCCAGGGAGTTAGAAGCTAAGATAGCAGCGGCTATTGCGGACGTTATTACGTCTCATGATGTGTCTAAATTGACTACAAAGCTCGTGCGTCAAGCCGTGGAAAAGGAGGTGCGCGTAAGTCTCACAAATCACAAGGACGTGCTTAAGCGTTTGATGCATCAAGAGCTGCGCAAGCATAAAGCAAAGAAAATTGCGAAGCGTGCGGTGATAGAGCCTTGGAAGAATACTTTAAGGCGTGAGAGCATCACTAAGGGCCTCAACTGCATCTACCAGATGCTTTGCGATACCTCGAGCTTTCCGGACTGGGGGCTGCATGCCATTCAGTCGCTATATGATTTGCAAGCGGTGGAAAAAGGCGATGTGCTACGTCGGTCAACGCTCTACGCCAGACTTACTGGCGCTTTGTGGCTCAAGGCTGATCGACATGCTGATTGGGCTGTTGGCACCGTCCCTACTCCCACTCAGCTCATTAATGCAATAACTGCTGTTTATATCGTGGAGCGATTAGGTATCTCACATTCAAGGCGAGTTGAATTGTTGGACTTGTGTGATCAATCACCTGCTATCTATGGTGCTAAGGTAAGTGAGACAAATTAAGGTAAACACGCAGACGCTTAGATATTAACGTGCTGTATAGGAGCTTCTCGGTTGGAATCCCGCAGAAATTTCTCCACAGATGGACAAAAAGAGTGGAATATCCCTATACGAGCACATGACAAGGGCACTAATGCTGTGGCATTACGCATTTGCGCTAGGGATCTCGATTGGATTCACTTTACCTCAGCTTCTGAAACACTTGGGGTCAATATACCCGTATAAGGGCCCGGAAGATCTTTCGATCCAAGAGTACGAAGATCAGGTGCACTTCGTCACGACTCTTATCTTCGTACTGACGAACCATGGACGTCTGCGCTGCGAAATTGTACGAAATACATCATTTAAAAATCTTTTAGACTGTACTAAAACATTTTTTGGTGACTGCAGGAACTTCTACCTCATGAATATTTCTTTTTGCGCCATCATCTTGTCTATCACCTGGCGCAACAAGATGTGGCTTTGCTTAGTGAAATCATGAGGGTAAACTTTTAGGGCACGTAATTGACTTGTCATGGACTCGCCTTAAAATAAGCTGTGTGTAGGCTTTGAGGTGTTTTGAAGGCTCGAACGATCTTGTACCAATGCGCCGGGGAATGGCCTTCTTGCTGTTGTCTCAACGAGAGGATGGGTCTTGGCCGAGTGGAGATACACAAGATCTCAATCTGCGCTACTTTTCAACCATGCAAGCGCTTTGGGCTTTATGTGAGCCGAAGCGAATAGGATTTGCACCTGCGTTTATTGAAGCAACTCCTATCTTAGAGCTTCACTTGAACGCGGAAACTAAAAATTTTGATGTAAGTGAGGCATTGTACTTGGGAAGTGAAGGCCGTAAGTTTTGATATGTTCTGTTCGACTCTACGTTCTTGAGCAGAACAATTCCATGGAAATTTCTAAGGATCCTACAAAGGATGCAAAGAATGCTAATGCTGTTTCTGAAGTGGCTGTGGCAACAGCAGCTGCTCCGTCCAAAGACGAAGACGTGGCAACGCGCGTAGTATTCATACAAGGTTTACTCAATCAAAATGGCAACGTAAAAAGCGTCTCTGCTGCTCTCGCCACACATGTGATGAGCACACTCGCAGACATGGTGCTTACAGTAGACATCTTGAAGAGTACTGGTGTCGGACGTACTATTAACAAATTACGCAAGCACTCCACACCCTCTGTTGCTAAGGCAGCCACACAACTTGTGGCAAAATGGAAAAAAGATTTGTTGTAGACATCCGTTTAAGCTTAACACGATTAGATTATTCATCTTTTGATCCTTTTTTTGTCTGAACGGCTATCGCCCGGTTACCAGGGGCTAATGTCTGCTAGCATTTTCTTCGCAGTTTTCCATGCTGCATTTGGGGGCTTTGGTCGCTGTCCAGCTCCATCAAAGGACCCATAATGCGTGTCCTCTTCCAGAATCAACGATTCCTCCAGCTCGTCTGACGTGTGTCCCAATCGCGGAGAAAAGTTCATTGATGACGGCACGCAAAATTGGCCAGTCAATGGATCACTAGTGCTTATCCGTCCGTGTTCTATCAACTTTTCCCGGAAGCAATCTGTTTTGTCACGAGCTTCAAATACTCTTCGTCGCGTCGTTGAAGCAGGAGATAATTTATTGTCAGGTGGTCGATTGGCCACAAAATATACCGAAAACAGAAAACAGCTCATAGCGACTCCGAACGCGACCACTAACTCGACGCACATAATGATAGAGAGGTTACGATGATCAATGGGTGGCGTGTCTGGACTAGGTGGTGGGATCGCTATTCAAACACAAGTACCACATCTACGTCAAATATCATATTTCGCTCACGATCGTCTCGTAAACACACCTTCTGGTAGCAAAATGTTGAGCAGAGTGGCAGCAGCCAAAGTTGATCCTTTATAGCTATCATCAAAGGCTTGAATTGGTTCAGCATCGCGAGAATAATAAGCGAGCGTCAGAGCCGTAGGTGCAAGATCCTGCTCTGCTGCAGACCATGAAAGAGACGACTGCGCATATGCAGCTGCCTTACAAATCATCTCCCTCGTCTTGTTGCGTACGTAATCGGCCAAACCCGGGAACTTGTTCTAAGCATCACAATACTATTAGCATTTTAAGGACGCACTGAAAAAATCGATCAACATTGACATTACACACCCTCACAAAGTTCCGCTGTAGAAAGTAATTGTATAGTATCCACGTCGAGATTGCAGGGCGATCACTCATCAAACTTAAGTCATCTCCAGAGCATGCAAGAAATGAAGCTGGGTATTGAGTGCAATAGAACGAGAAAGAACCAGGCTCCGCTAAAAAATGTTTCATCGAGCGCATCTTCTTGTCATCGTCCAGATTTACAGCGTACCCAGGTAGAAAGCCGCGAAGAGAGTGAAAAGAACTCCAAGACAATTCGCTGGAGTCTGCAAAAAAATCTGTCGACGTGTTCCACAACCCAAGAAGGGCTTTTTCAAGCCCTTGGGCCATTGTCCGCAGTTCATTTAAGTCGTCCAAAAGTTCTTTCTGAGTCAAGACAAAGTCTGTGCACACGGACGAGTG